CTTAACCACCACGACGATTCTACATTTTGTTTATGTTCTTTATCGGGGTAAGTCTTTGAGTCAATAAGAAGAAAGCAATGCAAGATGTGCATGTTTTAGTGCAGCTATTCTTGAGTTTTTGAGCTTGAAGTTGTCGAAATAAAGCTCACCTATGGTTTGTCCGATGCCTCGACTAAATCCGTTTGATTATTATTATCTATTGGGTCATATGAAGTCAATAGTTTACAGTGGAATGTGGAAGATTCGGGAAATCAGATAATTGCAAGGTGTAAGTAATTCAATAAGAAACGATTCTTCTGTTTTTGAAAGGGTTCGTTCAGAAAACGATTGGATGGATGTTTTCTAGCTGATGGTAGTGGTCAGTTCTTACAGATGTTACACATTTTATTGTCAAAAAACATTTACCGACTATCCAAAAACTATCAAAAGACGAAATATTATTACAATTAACCCCTTGAAGTTTTGCCGTTACTTAATTGGGTACAAATAAACAATTTTGATAAAAAAGTGAATTAATCAGGCGGTTCCTGTCTGAGGATTCGGTAAAAATTTTGCTTACCGTGTTTGGCAGCATAGTGAAGGGCAGTATTGTGGTTGTGATTCTCTCCGTAACTCAGATTTGGGTCCAGGTTCTTGCGTAACTCGGGAGAACTCTGATAAATTTGCATGGCGGCAAACTCGTCCCCGTGCTGCAAGTATTTTTTAAACTTGGACGAAGTGCTACCCATGATGATTGTTTTGTGTTTTTGCTTGTTGTGCTGTTATCGTCTTGAATTCTTCATCAAAGTGACGACTTTCGTCAAGAAACGTTGCTCCGTATAAACCACCAATAACTTTTCTGAGAAACAACAATGATTACCTGCCTGATTATTTATAATTTTATACAGCTGTAGATAAGTTATAGATAACTTAAAGCTAACATTTGCCAGTCATTGTTGATATTTATAATTGTTAAAAAGTCATCGAACTGACGCAATTATTTCATAGGTATGAATTTGCGCAGTTAACTGATAAATATCAGTATAACATCAGTAAAATTACGATTGAATTCGGATTCCGTGTCAAAATAATAAAAATAATCTCTCTTGTACTACTTAAGTATAACAAAAGCAGTAGCTTAAACATAAACGAAAAATGTGCTCGGAATCATCAAGGCGCGAATTAAAAACAATTAAAGTAAAATTTAATTTTTTTAATGAATTAATGACAAGGATAATAAATTTATAAATAATGTTTTTAACCCTGAATTATTGTATTTGTCCTAATTTAACGTATGAATTGTTTAAAACCTCGCCCATTATGTGATATCATGATGATGAATAATTAACACCCCTTAGTTAAGTAGGATTGGCAAAATGAGGCGATAATTAAAATGTAAATAATTGTATGATACGTATTTTGTTTCACGGAATATGGAAAACTGAACTTGATAAGCCACTTAAAATTCGAGGCATATTAAAAACACGTAGGTATTTATATAATTGGAATACAAATTAGAGCGCAATCACTTACTATTATGTACGTAACGTTAAATTGGGGAAGAAAAGGGAGGGGAAGCTAAATTTAAACTAAATTATTGACAAAAGGCTTAGAAACTAAATTAAACTAATTAACTAAAGTTTCTGTAATGATGAAACTGAGTTTTTAACTTGATTAATATATTTGTTGTTTTACCTACAGCATGCACTTCAAAATTTTGTTATTAAAAATAGCGAAAACCAAATAATTAATTTTTTTTATAGTGTTAGTATAAAATTGACTGTCATACCACCGTAAGCATTAATATTAGATCAAAGTAAAGTGGATTTAAGTTTTTTAGGATTTAATATTTTTCAAATAGATAAAGTGGAAAGGATAATAGTAAAATTTAGAATTAAATTTTTATATTTATGGGTATTCTTACATAAAAGAACAATTTGTTCTTGCTGACAGAACCTTGTGTTTTATGTTATTTGTTTATAATTTATAACGAAGAAAAAGTACACAATACTGGTGGACGATGTTGACTGACACGGAATTTGATTAAAGTGTAATCCAAACATTTAGCATTAAACAATTTCACTTTTATAACAAAGGAAAAGGACGAGTTTTTTGCTTTAATTTTTCATGAACAAGTAAACAATGGTTTACTAATACTACTAATACTCCGTACTTACCATTTAATACAGTTTTCTTTGATAAACCGCTACATAGGTACCACAGGCCGAAACTTGCAAAGAAAAAACTAACAACAAGTACTTAGTGTACTTAGTGCATTAATACTGTGCAATTTTTGTTACATTAAAAACTGAAAACAACTACAAAGGTTCACAAATTGGCGTATAAACATATTGTAAACAATGTCGGTTTAGAACTGATAAGATGCTTTGTGGCGAGGTGATAAAACTTTATTTTCAAAGTGTCTTGAAATCGCTGTCGTACGTAAAAGTAAATATTTATATTAATAATTGCGGGATTTTGTGCTCTTGTAGTATGCAAATGAGAGACATTGATTCCTAAAATTAAATTTTACGTAGTAAATATTTCTTCTAATTGAAAATTTGAATGTTCTGGTGGTTGAACAGTTCAGAAACTGGAAATTATCAGCAAGGAATTTGAATCAAACGCAACGTAATTTCATCAATACTGATTACTTCGAAGGCTCGATAATTTCACGTAAATACTTGTGTGTATATGGCGTGCTTTTAGTCACGCATGCGTGAACCGTGCGGCCAGTCGTTCCAAACTTTTCTTTGATGACCGTAGATTGACGATGTATGGCACCTACATGTACATGCGACCTACGTAAACACTGCCTTTTAATGGCTTTTAAGTAAAGACTAATTTCAGTTAACTTTCCCTCACTATCATCANAGCAGGTAAAAGTTGGTCTGTGTTCTGTCGGAGCTGTCTGCGACGCGCTGATGAGATCCAAAAAGATCGAAATCGCGATCCGCGTCTGGCAGTTTCGACAGAATACAGACCACTTCGAATCATTTTATTCAAGTAGTAGAACTATTTGGACTTACGCAGTCGTGATTCGGATCTAAAGGGATCCTAACGTGTTCATCCAACGTCGGAGATGGAAGCATCTTTAAAGAAGATCGCCACTCGTGCTAGCGAAACGTTAAGCCTTTAGACCCGAACCAGGCACCAACTTGTTTCGACTTACTTGCATAAACTCGAAGATACTTTTATTGCACCCATCGTCTTGTAGGTAATAACCATAGACGTAGGATCCGCACAAAACTCTCCTGGCTTTGAGTAACTCTCTAACTCCATCCTCAAAAAATCGGGTTCCCTTTACTCCATTGTCTAAATAAGTAAATTGAATTATCTGATTCAAGCAACATTAAGGTCCATATTGAAATATACGTATATAATATGTGTATTTAATTTGAATACCTTGATTGAACTTCAATCCAAGACTGTTGGCTAATATTTCCATCTTTTGATTGGCCGTTGTAAGAAGCGGTTCTTCCATCTTTTGGCTGTTTTCGTGATTACGAAACCTGGTGTAATAATGGAGAAATCGTGATATCTCTTGCATTTGATTGTTCCTGTCCAAAGCTTCGGAAATCAGTGTACCCTGCTTTTCGTCAGCTTTCGTCACAGCTTCAAAACGATTGCATCGGAAGTAACCACCGGTCGCGGAACTGTGTTTCTTCCATGATTCCTGACACACCCAGCAGAAATCGAATTTGCACTGAGAAGAAGAGAATATCAATTTTATTTAAGTCGACTGACGCTTTTTTCAAGCATATGTATATAAAACATTTCTTGCAACGCTTGGCCCTCGACTGTTTAAAGACTAAAGTCGTGGAAAAAATTACACGTAACTAAAGAGAGTGACGAATTGAAATGCATACTATACTTAATGCTTACGATACCATCTCTGAAGTTGATTTCGGTAAATAACAATAAACTTTCACCGTGTAATCAATTTTGCTCTTTTATTAGGATCATAAGATTATAGATGAACAAAGTGCACCTTCAATTGGAATATCACTATTCCAGAAAGTATGCACATAAAGTACCCCAGTTAACGAGCCGTCAATGATTGAGAGTTTAGCAGCCACGTTATCTCATCGTCCAGCGTTAAGTGAAGAAACACTCATACCTACTCGGGACCTTCGCAACAGCTGGAACATAGACAGGTCTATTGCACGTGTGACGATTATTAGTAGGAGCCTGCACTCCGTAGTTAATATTCGAATGGCAAAGCTACAACCATAAGTTGAGTGTGAAAATATTAAACAAAAACGCAGAATATGCAGAATATGTCATCTATTTACCGGGGCAGTTGGGGCTTTTGATAGGGACATTACCTTTATGTTTATGTACCTATATCACTGAGTGGCAGGAGATGGCTCATTATATTTCTTTTTCGTGTACCTTCTTCTCCCTTAATTTTGTTAAAAAATTGTTCGTATCATTTAAGTGTAAGAGTCCAGTAGGGCGAACGTAAGTTGTGAGTGGTAACTGTATTAACAAATTATTTACCTTTGAACATTTCATGTGGTTGCATCCTTCGTTTTTCTGAATGGGGCTCTTGCAGTTTGGACACGGCTTCGAATTGGTGACCAACCAGAGACAATTGGCTGCATCTTCGCTCTCATTACAGGAAGCTTTCAGTTCCTCTGGTTTGATCTCAGCTATTTTCTTTTGCCACTCCTGCCACTGGTTACAGCCGCAGGGCGCATGAGCCTCCCCTACAATTTTATTAATTCAAGGTTTCTTTTAACTTCGTTAATGACGATTTTATAAAATATTCAGTTGTAAGATACCTAAGCATTCCCAACAGAAAAAGTGAGAATTGCCGCAGTCGACAGCATGTGAAGTTATAGGAATTGATTTGTTTCCGGTCTTTGTTCTGTTTTGTTCCGTTTCCGGTAGTCTAACAGCTCTTCCGCAACCAGCAACCGGACACCATTTAATACTTTTGTTGCTCTCTACAAAAGCCTAAAACCAACGGTAAATTTTATCATTTCGTATCGTCCGATGGAATGGTTAGGATATGATTTACCTTTATGTCAAACTGAAGATACCTCCTCGCCATTTCTGGGCTTACCAGTTTTTCGATCGTTTCAACCGGTACCAGGATGTGACATTGGTAGGCAGGACACATTATGTGGTGAGCGTCCCCACTCTGAATTTTTATAGTTAAATAACTACCCCAACACGACCTACAGAAGTTGTGCTTGCATGACATGGCGATCGTCTTGTCTTTTTCTGATATGGGTGATACGCAGATTTCGCACTGGGAGGAAAACAAGGATGAAGTTACCGATTTCGAAAATTAATTTAGCTCTTTAGAAGCAAGTTGGTATTGTATCCGTTGTAGTTCTTTACATACCATCCTCTCAGATTTGTTGCTGTCTTCACTGAATGTCGGAGATGTGCAGTTAGAAGAATCCCAAGGGTTTCCCTGGTGCAGGATTGTAGATGGCGCTTGCACCCCGGCGTCCCGACAGCATTCCATCGGATCTTTCATCCACTTTTCCAAAAGCAGTTCTCGAGACCATTCTAAAACATTCGAAACATATTTATTCTACTAGTGTTTCTATTTACTGATCTAAATGCTCACCGTTGTTCCTTAATAGAGCTTCAGCTGTGAATAGTGGTATTTTTAACATGTCTGAGGTATCAACCAGGAGTTGATCTTTAGCCTCTTGAAGGTCCTGGCTTCTCAAGCCGCTGTAAACCTCTTCTTGGCCCACCATAAGTTCATCTTCATTAATGACGTCCGAATTGTCGGCCTTTGATCAGAAAGATGAAGTAATTACCTAGCTAATTTACCTCGGTATTTAATTTGTTATTCATTAAATTAATTAGGCTTTTAATAAATTAAGATATCGATTGATTGTGAACGAAGCGAGAACGATTCGGTCGATGGTTTATCGAAAGTGCCTCTGGCGTGCTGATGAGAAGTAATAACTTTAAAACAGCGATACAGGATGATTGACCAAGAACAATGTTTTTTAATAATAATAGTATTGTTTACTCACGAAAACCATTCTGCTTTCGAGTAGGCGTGCGACGTCGTGATGAGATGCTTTCATTGCCAAGTCGCAGGGTGTCATTTTGTCGTTATTTTCAATGAACAATGGCGCTCCGTGGGCTAGCAGTAGCTCCACACACTTTTTAAGGCCGTTAAAGGCTGCCCAGTGGAGTGTTGTGTTGCCTTCCTGGTAGCAATATGTAAAAAATACATCTGAGTCAAAAGTGGAGACAGTAAATTAGGGCTGTAACAGATATCCGCATCCGCAATTGCATGAATGTCTGTAATCCGCATCTGCACATTCTCGTAGGGATATTTAACGGATATTGTTCAATATACTACAACAGGAGTCACGGTATGTTGTGAAACGGTTAACATTAGCACAATAGGCCGGGCGGCGAGCTTTGGATAAATGCTCCGCACCCACATCCGCATCCGCATCCGCAAGTTTAACCTCAATACAGTTTGCAACCCCATTCGTTTCCGCTACCTAAAGCACATCCGTTACAACCCTACAGTAAATACAGAAAGTTTGGATTTACTAGAAAATACCACAAATGGCGCGGTAAACGCCATCTGTAGTACGATGCTACATTTTAGGATTACGTATGCTCCAACAAGGTCCATTTAAATATAT